GCGCGTGTGCGTGCGTATGTAAAAGTACGCGTCAGTGTGTGCAAGTGTGTGTGTGTGCGCGTGTGGGTGTAAGGTCTGTAAGTGCGTGTGTGTGTGTGTGTGCGTGTGAATGTGTGTATGTGTGTGAGTGTCTGCGTTTGTGTGTGCGCGCGTGCGCCTGCGCGTGTGCGCGTGCGTGTGTGCGTGTGTGCGTGTGTGTGCGTGTGTGTGCGTGTGTGCGTGTGTGTGTGTGTGTGTGCGTGTGTGTGCGTGCGTGTGTGTGTGTGTGTGTGTGTCTGTGTGTCTGTATTTATGTTTGTCTGTGTGTCTGTGTGCCTGTGTGTCTGTGCGTCTGTGTGTCTGTGTGTCTGTGAGTGGGTGGGTGGGTCGGTGGGTGGGTTGGGTGGGGGGGCGGGGGGGCGCCTGATCTGTTCTCCGCCAAATCGCGTCGCTGGCGTGTGGGAGGCAAAGTGAGTGCGCGCGATCGTGGTTGAGGGCAGCTCAAGGGCGTCACGCCGCGTGTTCCCACTTCCTCTGAACATGTGCGTGTGTGTGTGTGTGCGGATGCGCGTGTCCGTTCTTGCGGCTCAAGCTGGACGGCAGCGGGCAGACTGCGGTCCAGGGCCCAGGCAGCGCGCGCCCAGCCCGCGTCGTGCGCCCGTTCCCTTCGCACGAGCGAGGGATGCTTGGCGCCTGCGGCTTCCTCGTCCCCGCGCTCGCGCTCGCCTCGAGCCCCCCGTGGCCCGCGGGCCCGCCGCCAGCCTGGCCGCGGTACCCTGGCCGCAGGGTGTTGACGCTGAGCGGCGCCTGGGATTTTGCGTTCTTGGGCGACGTGGGCCACGAGGCTCAGGGGCAACGTTCGGGGGGGGGAGTACGCTCAGGGGGGGACGCATCGACCCCCAGTCGCTATCTGGTTGCCAGCATGAGGTTGATAGCCCGCCCCGCCCAGGTTCGCGCGGCTTCACCATCGGGAGCCCATCACCGATCTATCGGCGATGTATCACCGATTCCAGGTCGACGCTTCCCCACCTGAGCCAGTCCCCTGGTGGTGTCGGGTCATAACTCGGGCCTCCGGGGGCCGTTCAGGGCGACCTGGGAACTACCGGAACGCCCTCGGCGAGGCGCAGCCGCTGGAAGGCATCCCGAGGCTGGGAAACCACCGAGAACCGCCGAGATGTTTCAACACCTCGAACCTCGAAGCTCTAGCCGTTTGCCCCCCCTTACCGTTGTTTCTCAGAGGCGGCCGCCTCTGTGAGAGAGGAGTACTTCTGCCAGACGGCGGAGGTGCCCGACGCGTTCGACGCGCGCGAGTGGCTCTGCCCCGAGCGGTGCCACAGGCTCGGGGGCTCCTCCTCCTCCTCCTCCTCCTCCTCCTCCTCCTCCTCCTCGTCCTCCTCCTCCTCCTCGTCCTCCTCCTCCTCCTCCTGCGAGAGTTGGCCCTGGCCCATGGCGGCCTCTGGGGTGGCTGGAGCAGGAGTGGCGTCAGCCCGCTGCTGCAAGGGACGTTTCGCGCTCCCGCCGCAGAGCTCCCGAGCCGGGCGTCTGCGACGGCGGGCGTGCAACCGGACGGCAACGAGCACGCTGAAGGCAAGCCTTTCCACCAAAGGCCATTGCAGTCGGCCCGGATTGATAGGTCGACCCTGCCAGCTCAAGGGTACCCTTGTGGCCTGGGCCCCGCGACGCGTGCCTTCTTGCACTCCTAATTATGGCGGTGTGGCCCTCGCAAGGGTATCTGTGCCCTCTCGCGTGTCTCCTGTCCACTCAGGGCCGACTGTCTTTTTTTTTCCGGCGGCGAGCTCGCCGAACACGAGAGGAGTCTGCTTCCCAGGGACGCCTCTGGCCTTAAGTCGGGCCTGTCCCCCTACTGGAGGATTTTCGACGAAAAATGAATTATCCCAGTGCGACCCTACCTAGGAGTTGGAGCATTTAGGAAAGCAACATCTACATCTACACCGACAGCTACATTTACATCTACACCTGCTTTGCACTGCAGGTCCGGCTTTGCGTTGCTTGTGCTTTGCTTTGTTGTTGCTGTTGTGTTGCCTTTGCATTGCTGTTATGATATGATATGCTATGTTATGCTGCGTTATGCTATGCTATGTTATGCTGCGCTATGTTATGCTATGCTATGCTATGCTATGCTAGGGTACGTTCGGCTGCGCTGTGTTATGCTAGGCTATGATATGCTATGCTATGCTGCGCTGTGCTATGCTATGATATGCTGCGCTATGCTATGCTATGATATGATATGTTGCGCGATGATATGTTATGATAGCTAGTATATGATATGATATGCTGCGCTGTGCTATCATATGCTATGTTATGATAGACTGCGCTCTCATATGCTATAATATGCTATGATGTGATATGATATGATATGTTGCTCTTTGCTATGCTATGACATGCTGCGCTATGCTATGATATACTGGCATGCGCTATGATATGATATGATATGCTGAGCTATGCTATGACATGCTATGCTATGATATGATTGGTTATGATATGCTATGTTGTGCGAATGCTGCGCTAAGCTAAGGTAAGCTATGCTAAGCTAGGCTAGGCAAAGCTAAGCTAAGCCAAGCCAAGCCAAGCTAAGCTAAGCTAAGCTAAGATGGCATAAGTTAAGCTAAGCTAAGCTAGGCTAGGCAAAGCTAAGCTAAGCTAAGATGAGATAAGCTAAGCTAAGCTAAGCTAAGTAACTTAGCTAAGCTAAGCTAAGCTAAGCTAAGCTAAGCTAAGCTAAGCTGGGTGAACCCAGGGGGGCGTAACTGGGGGAACCGCGGGGCGGATCCTGGGGGAACCGCCCCGGGCGGGCAACACTGCCTGGCCCCTTTAAGATAGAAAGTAAGAGCCCTTCTAGGCAGAGCCTAGGTAGGGAAAAACACCCAAAAAATAGTCAAAACATAATCCAAAAATAGTCTGGGGATTATTTGTTTAGTATTTTTGATCTTTTTGGGGTACTTTTGGGGTACTTTTTATTTTTCGTCGAGAATCCCCCTGTAGGGGGACACGCCCGACATCACTCTGGCAGCCCCCCCGCAGGTCGGACGGCAGGCCGTGCGCCAGCTGCTGCGAGGGCGGCCTCGGCGGCCCGGCCCCGGCGGGCGACCACCCCGCAGGGTGCTGGGGCGCCGGCCGGGCCCCCGAACGGTGCTGCGACGCAGTGGCGCTGGGCCGGCGGGGCGTCGCGGCGTACCGCACGTTCCGAGAGCTCCGACGGAGTGGGTCTCCGCCCTCCTCCTCCTCCTCCTCCTCCTCCTCCTCCTCCTCCTCCTC